CCAGAAAATAATACTTTATTAATTAAATTATTAGTTACAGCAAGCAAGTTAATGAAACAGAATTGGATCATAGAATTCATATCTGCATTAATTGGAGTAAATCTACTGCAATTAATAGCCACCCCTGAATTCAAAACTCATGGTAGAATTCGAATAGTGGTTCAGTTAATGGACATTTCAGAATTCTGTAAACTGAATCAGCATTCATGACAAGGATCAAAGCATGATTTTACATACAATTGAACTCAGATTCAGCCATTCTCTTCATATAATCAAATTACAAATCGATGTTTCCCTTTCATCTCTCTCATTCTTTCTCGCTCATCAATGGCCTCCTTGATATCTTAGAAATTTTGAACAAAGTCCAGAAATTCCCCAGAGATACAGAGATTACTCAGGAAGAAGTGGTTGAAGAGGAAGAACCTGAAGCTCTCGGGGATGTCGTCGGAAACAGAGGCAGCAAACGCGGTTCAACGTCCCTCGGAGTTGTCGCCGGCGAAGGATGTAAGTAAAACCCTTTCTCTTTGATAGCTTTCTCTTCGGCTTCTGAATGAAGAACTGGGCCGGTTCGGTCGAATGGGTCGGGTATGAGCGGCGTGACCGGACTGAGAGCCAGAGAAGGAAAATCGAGAATGCTCGGCGAGAGAATCTCGGGTTTTCGGGGCGAGAACCCGGAAACGTTGGGCGAAAACGAAGGGATCAGAGGGCTGATCTTGAGATTCTTACTGAGCGAATTCCTTCGCTCGTAGAGCTTGAACCCTGAGGATTGCTGCTTCTTGGGCGTGGATTTGATGGGCGGGATCGCATGAGATTTTGCCGGAGACGAGTCTGAGGTGTTTGCAGCGGAGGGTTTGGAGGATCCGGTGAGCATTTGGACGACTTGCTTGAAGGAAGAAGTATCGGCTTGGACGAAGGTAGTGGGATACGGGCTTCCCGGTTCGGATCTGGTAATGGGTTTGGGAGGGTGAACGCCATTGTTGATGTTGCTGCTGCTAGTGGTAGTTGTGCTACTGTTGGAGCTGAGGCTGCGAGGGGAGGGAAGGAGAGAAGAAGGGCTCGGAATCTCTGGGTTGTTACATCTTGGGGACATGGAAGCCATAGATGAGTTTGTTTTAGAGAGAGAGAGAGGGAGAGGAAGGTGAAGTGGGGGATGAAAGTAGAGAAGGAGATGAGAGTTTGTTGCTTTGCGTGATTTGGTGTAAAGAAATGTTTTCGTGAGGACCTTCAAATTCTCCGCTGCTTGACGCAATCTCCACGCGCCTTGAAGGCAGTTGTGTAAAAAGCAAATACATTTTAATAATATATAATTATCAATCATTTTTAAGACGACCTTGTACCACTTGAACTAGGCAAATAAAAATAAAAAAGAAAATTACACTCAGGTCCTACAAAGCACAATTAATATAAAAAAGGTTCCTCGAAATTACGAAATGATTCTGAAGTCTCCAGGGACCTGTGTGTAATTAATTTTAATTATGAAATTACGTAGTTACCCCTGTTAATTTGAACCTATTTACAACCTCAACAGTGGCTGTTAACAACCTGAGAAGAGGTGGTTAACAACCTTAACAACGCCTCTGGCATTCCACAGAGTGAGTTGTCATGAGCACTGCCGAGGTTGTCAATCACGTCTTCTCGGGTTGTTAACAGCCACTGTTGAGATTGTAAACGAATTGCTACAATAAAATTAGAACCTATTTACAACCTCAACAGTGGCTGTTAACAACCCGAGAAGAGGTGGTTAACAACTTCAACAATGCCCCTGGCATTTCACAGAGTGAGTTGTCATGAGCACTGCCGAGGTTGTCAATCACGTCTTCTCGGGTTGTTAACAGTCATTGTTGAGATTGTAAACGAATTGCTGCAATAAAATTAACAGGGGTAAGTAGGTAATTTCACAATTAAAATTAATTACACACAGATCCCTAGGGACTTCAGAATCATTTCGCGATTTCGAGGGACCTTTTTTATATTAATTGTGCTCTGTGAGACCTAAGTGTAATTTTCTCAAAATAAAACGGCGTGACGTTAAATTTAAAAGGTGTTTGAAAGTACTCAAAATATTTTTTAGAAATATTTTTTTATAAAACGAGATAAATTCTTTCACATGTTTACTTCGTATACCGTAAAAACATTTTTAAAACTATGATTTTGCTTTTACCCAAACACCCCTTTAGTAGTTAAAAGGTTAGTGGATGGATTGAGATCAACTCAGAGTCAAATTAATTATATTAAAATAATATAATTTAATTAAAAATAATAAAAATATAATAAAATTAATAATTATTAATAACAAAATATAAGAAAATATAATAATAGTTTGATTATAACAATAATAAAGTACAACAATATTAGAAATTTTGATCTTTACGATTCCTCAATAACAAAAATTAATAACTATAGATATCAAAATTATTATTAAAATTCATTGAAATTTATAGTGACAGCGATATTAGGGGTTGAATAAGAAAAAATAAAACTAATAGAAACATAATCATTCAAACTAATTTATTACTGGTTCAACTAGGTTGATACTGGTTTAATTTCAGAGCGGTCCAATACTCAAATCAGATCAGACCATTGACCGGTTTGCTAGTTGAGCCGGCCAGTTATGTTTGGTTTTTTTTCCTTTGGAACTAAGCACTCCTTGTAGGTATTATTATAAGTTTCAAATAATTGATTTATGTGTAATGAAACATTAGTTAAAATTAGTTAAAAATAATAAATAAATAAGAAATATACCTTTATGTTCAAATATGTCTTGATAAGAAAAATGAGAAAAAAGGGTAAAAAAAATGTGTGCGAAAATGTAATGAAAGAAAGTGAAACAAAAGAGAGAATAAATGACTAAGAAAAAAATTAGAATAAAAACATTAAATATTAAGACAAATCCAATTTAACTCTTATAAAATGGACCATACTTTTCGTCAAATTTAAAGTTTATAAATAGTACAAACAACAAACTATTCCAACGATGACACCATCCACCATGCTTAATTGAAGTTGAGTTTAAAACTCACATTGATATACATTTTTTGGGCTATGCATATATATCTTTTTATTGGAGGCATTTTTATTTGAGACATTATGATTACTGAATACTTCTCTTAACGAGAATTCAAATTCTAGTTTGTCATATTATAAGAAACTAGTTTTTTTTTTATTAGACTCAACTCCTGTTGTTAACTTGCATTGATATACTTGCTTGTATGCCCGCATAAATTGTATAAACAATTTTTTTTTACCAAGTATAAATCAGTATTTTGTACTTATGGGAGAGGTTGACTATTGGGGGTAGGGGTTGGTGCACCCCAAAAGCATTTTTTTAAGGTATTATTATCGAAATCAAAATAAATCTCATTTTACATACTTACTTCATATGTTATAAAATCATTTTTAAAACTATAATTTAGTTTTCACCTAAATATTCCCATATCGCGAATAATTGTCCACCATGAAAACTATTTAAGTAGGCATAACTGTCACAGCCTACACTTGAGAACTTGTTTTCGGAGCTTGAAATGGGGAAAGCAGTAATTTAGCGGAACTTGCTTGCAAGCACAACAGCAATTTTTACACATAGAATGACCGAGTAACGACAAATATATGAAAGAACTAATTTATTAATTAAGTTAAATAGATAAAGTTTAGAAAATGAGTTTTAACTCAATTAAAAATTTAGGAACTAAATTATACCAAATTTCGAAGAATTCAGTCATAATTAAATTAAAAATTAAAAAATCAGAAGATTAATTTTTCTAAACAATTTCAATAAGCCCATTTTCCATGCTTATTCCTCTTTCTGTTCTTAATCTCTTCTTCACTTTATGCAAATCGCAGCATTACGAAATTTTCTTGCGTTCTTTTTTTTCCCCCTTCCACTTTGTTGTTCGGAAAAATTATAATAAGATCTTAAAAAAAACAAAAAAAAACAAATCTCAAAAGTTATTATTTTTTATTTTGAAACTTATCATTACAAACTATTTAAATTGTTATTGAGATTTTTTAGTAATTATTTTTTTCCTTGAAACCCCATTATAATTCTCCCTTGTCGTTTTGAAGCTTAGTGAACTGAGCACAAGAAACACGCCTAGGTTATTACAAGCCACGCAACTAAAGACACTCATTTTTTTGCCATAAAGCCTAAAAATACACTTACATATCTCCACCAAGTTTCATTGACAATTTAGGTGATGATCTCGCAATTTCAATTTTTACAGTAATATATTCTGAAAGTAATACCATTTTCAGTCCTTAAAATTTGACATTATTTTAATTTTGATTCCTGAAATTTAAAATTAGTAATTTCAATCCCTAAAATTTAACCTAATTTTGACATAAATTCCTTAAATTTGAAATCAATAATTTTAACATCTAAAATTTAATTTCATTTTGATATTAATTCTTGTTTTAGGGACTAAAAACATTGTTCTAAAGATAAAAAATCTCTCACTGTACAAAAATGAAATCAAATTTCAAAAATCTAAATCACCTATTTTAAATTTTAGAGACTAAAACTAAAATAAAATCAAATTGCAAGGATGAAAAATAATACTACCTCTCCTCCTTAATATAAAAACTAGTTGATTAGTTTAAATATATTAAGAGAATTAATTAATTATTTATAATAAATAGATATTATTTTTTTTTCAAAATATCATCGCTAACCAAATATATTAGTTGAAACCACTATGAGTACAAGAACTATTTTGAGAAAAAAAATAAATAAATATAACAAACAAAATGAATTCAAATCTTATATTTAGAACCAAAATAAAAATTAAACTAATTCTTATATTAAAAACCGAACATCATATTAAACCTATAATTTTTTTAGGTTAACTTTCTATGGAACACATTAGATGGAGTTGTGGAAAAAATAATAATAAAATGGCCTTTTACCTTTTTGAACTTGAATCCTCCATCATGTCTTTTATATGTTTTATATTCACTATTTATAAAATTGCAAAACAAAACATACCAACAAATCGCCCAAACACTTTTGCAAGATAAATGTAATATTGCAGATTATCTCGAGAACAGTTCCTATAGCCAAAGTATGAATCTAAACTATGTTCAATAGGGTAAGTTAGAATAGCCAGATCATACATTGTGATCGTAATCCCAAATGATCAGTGAGGACAACGCGTTGATGAGACATTGATTAAGCGTTATGATTCCACTCAAGCGTGCTACTGAACACTCGCAAACCACAACTGCCAGTAACGTCCCTAAAATTTACATTTAAAAAACTGGGGAAACAAGAATAAAGAAAAACCACAAGCCTTACTGTTTTCTCAAAATTTTTGGTCCAAGAAAAGTCTACCGTACAAAAATCTGGGGAAAGGTCAAACCAGTTGTAAGTGCAAATCTGCTTCCAAGTTGATGTTCAGGATCACATAAAAACGCTTGACTCGCAACCACCTGAATTCAACACAAAACATTTCTTTGATAAATAAAATACCCAACTTCTGCGTAACCAATGCACATGAAAAGACGATCAAGTGCATGCTTTGACCACTGATCAATAATCTATGGATGTTCACAAGAAAAAAGCAAATACAAGACACAGGATACAGCATCAAATGTCTAACCTATAAAAAGCTAATTCCAATTTGTGCAAAATGCTTCATGAAGAAATATTAACCTAATTTCTTAAACACAAGCAGTTTGGTTTGGCTTCCCTACAGAACAAAGCATGCGCAGATATATGTGTGAATCTCTATAATAAGAAATATAATGATATATTAGTTTCAAATTTCAAATATAAATCTTAATATTACGACGCTTCATATGCAGGAGATTAGTAGAAGCTGATTTGCAGTGAAGTTGGGTTGCGGGCAGTTCTAGCTTCACTCATTACTAAATACAGAAGCTGGAATCTTAATGGTAAGAAAATGAGAAAACTTGAGAAAAAACTTTAGCAGAAAATGAGAAGTTGGGTTGCGGGCAGTTCTAGCTTCACTCATCTCCAGTGCTGATACATAGTTTTGGGAATGCTCACTAAGAAAAAACTTCAGCAGATTGAAGATTAGCGTATGCCATTTCTTATCCCCACCATCTCCCCACACCGCCCCCCCCCCCCAAAAAAAAAAAAACACAAACACAAAACAATCAACATATCAATATCCCCATATAATATAAAAAGCTGTAATATGCTACATTATTCACAACCTAATGAATAGTACAACGTATTCATTATATTTCATGCAATGTACAGGAGCAACGCGTCTACTAAACAACCCCAAGCTTTCTTTTTTGCTTGAAAGTAAACTAATAGTTGTTATAGACTTCCAAGGTTGGTTCAATGAGTTCATCAACAATTGTCAATGAAAAAATGTGCTGGAGACCTTCAACCATATTAACTTCCTACCTAAATTCCTAGTTTCTCTGTAACTTCATGCGCGTGCGCGCACAAACCAGCACACCAAAGTATAACTTCACATCCTAAAAAGCCACGAAAAGTTAGAGGTTAATTAGGCATCACATATTTTATCCATAAAAGGCATCTTATAGGACTACCCCTCAATATAAGCCCATAAAACAATTTAAAGTTTGGAAGGGTAAGAACATCTGGATTCTGGTACCTTAAAAAATAAATAAATAAATAAATAAATAAATAAAGGAATGGATAGCAAAGAAGCACTTCGCGCCCCTTCCCCAACAAAGCACTGATTCCTGTTCACTATTGATCAGGATGGTAAGGAGGTGAAACACTATTTTTCACCATCTGAAACCTTTGCCGTATAAATTCTATATCTCAACATTTTCCAAAATTCATATTTTCACTACAAAGTCATTGCACAGTCAAAATACCTTCTCTTAATTCATGTATATTTCACTCTATTCCATCCCTCAATTTTGAATACATAATCATCCTCGTATTTGAATTTTCATATAACAATATAATCCCTTCCTTTATGTTAAACATTGTTAGCTTTCGTTTGACAATAAATCCTTTCATTTGTTGCTTCTATTGCAACAATACACTCACTAGAACAACCATAAATAATCAAATTTTCCCAATTCTGTTTCAATCCCAGTGACTGTGTGCATAAAGATGGAAATATGAAAGAGCCCATTCTTCATTGGCATTTTATGTTGGATGTTAAACAAAAAGAACTATACTGAACTTTGATGTCACTTTTATTAGAGCTCCAAAGACAGGGGGGGATGGAATATGTCAAAAATTCAACATTTCATTATTAACCTTCCAGAGGGAAGATAAATTGACTAAACCATTCCTTATCTTTCTCTTTGCTTGATCTATTAGAACATTAGGTATACTGCTCCAAAAATTGCTTAGAGGACAAGCCACCAGACCAGAACAAATAGCAAGCTCTCTAGAGCAAAGAAAGAGACAGGTATCACCCAAAAACTTAGGGTCTCTACTAAAAATTAAATGCCAAAAGACTTTGTCATGTCACAAATGTTCCAGTGACTAGATCTAGGCAATCCAAAATGATAGATTGTATACTAAAACACACATTTATATGGCTGTGCAGCCATAGAGAACATGTACTCTTAGCCCAAAAACCAAAATGAGCTTCAGAGAATATCATTCGGAAGACTTTGATATAGAAGTAATCCTTAATATAAAGTCCTGCTTCATCAAGATGACAAAACTATTCCCAGCCAACTCCTAGATCCCCCATAGATGCGAGGTTAACAAATTTCTTGAACAAAAATCAACATGCAAACCTTATCAAAGATCCCATCAACACATGAAATCTAGGCTCAAAGCATGACCTACACTAAATTGCACAGGAAGGCAAACTGCGACCCCAAAAAGCAAGATTGACAGAACACATAATCACATTGCACATATCATACAAGGATGTAAAATCAATTAATATCATTAAAAAGGGGAATACGAATAGATCATGAACCTGTAGTTCTAGATAAATAGAAACATCACATAATCACCATCTAAGCTTGACCATCAATCTGCTTGTCTTCCACATCATTACTTGTGGTAGTTGCCTCCCCACCATCACCACCCTCTGTTGGAGGTTGAACTTGTTCCTCCTCAGGTAGTGGCTCCTCCACATAGTCATTCTCAAATGCATCAGCTGGAACCTCATATATCCTTACTTGAGGCTTAGATGGATCCTTCACCAAAACATACTTACCCTCATTCAATTTCATGCACAAGTCCACAATAGACTTCACAATTCCCCACATATTAGATGTGTTCAAATTAATTTGAGTCGCAAAATCTCTGGGTTTATAACCATTTACAGCCAAAATCACATGATTGAAATGATCACGGGGATGGACACGAGAGACGTAACCCAACTTCATCATATCTGCACTTGCCAACAGAGCTTGAGCAGTCCACTTAGCCAACTTATTTGCGTTATTCTTCAGCTCTGTCGCCAAGACTGCACCTCTCTGTGTCTCCAACTTCTGTCTCCAATCAACGCCAGAATATTTGGGATCAAATTCATTCAATGCATTCAAAGTAAGGAAGGACCTCTGGTTGTTCATATCAACAACACTCTGAACTTCACACCTCGCAACGAGATACATGTCATCATCAAGCTTCCACCTCCTATACCTATATGCCACAGAAGCAACCTCCTCACCCTCATTTGCAAAAGGATTAGGCTCATCAAAAGTCACCTTTTTCCCATCTCTGATTAAAACTTGTTGCGAAAAATTCTGATTAATATACGCTGCCTCAACGCTCAATGAGTGGGCAGAGTTAATATCATCCTTAGCCTCAGGCAGTGGTTCCTGCGAGGTCTCGTGGACGGACAGCAAATCCAACTGTGATCCATCCCTCTTATCAAAAAACAACTTGTTCCCAACTCGCTGAATAACAATATCCCATGAGTAAACAGACCTGGGCGAGCACATGAGTGTTGAGAGAATAGTATCAGTGGCGAAAACCGTCGCTTTGTCCTCGTTAGCAAGCCTTCTGATCACTGGGTCATCAGTGGTAGTAACTTTGAAAAAGTTCTTATTCTTAAACCTCTCAAGACGACGTTCATTCTTTGGAGTGGTTCGATCATACGACCTGTCATAGTACTCGAGACCACCACAGAAAAGAAGGTCTTCGGGTTCAGGAACAGCGAATGACAGCTTTGAGAAAGTTGAAAACGGTATCTGGTCCAACATGTTCCATTCGGGCTGAATATCCACAGAGGATTTGAAGATCGCGGCTTCACGACGTTGGGCATTAGCGTTGGATCTGTTGAGATAGTAGAGCCGGTCACGGCGTGCCCTCTCCTTCTCAGCCTCACGTTTTCGGGCCTCCACCTCCTCGTCACGGCGCTGAGGGAGTTGCCGCTGCTGGTTGAACCGCCATTTAGGACCAAACTTGGGTCGTGGAGGGGGCTTTCCATCGACGAGGCGGAAGGAGGAATCATCATCGGCGGAGGCAGGGAACGAATCGTCGATGGTGAAGTCGAATACGGCGTCAGCCGGGTTCTTTGGTCTTGTCGGGTTGTTGAAGTTGCGGGTCCAGTCAGCAATTCGACCCAGTTTGTCTGAGCGAGAGAACGGGGCGTAGGGTACATTCGCCGGGAGGTTCCTGGCAGACGATGCGGCGGCGGCGGCGTCAGGCGGACCCCATCCGTCTGGATTGAATGGTACGGCTCCGATTTCAAGACTTCCAACCATTGCTAGGAACGAATAGGGTTCCGTACGAGATTGAAAACACAGAATGAAGATGAGAGAAAAACCCTAGTCCATCAGTGAATACCCGCTTTCGTTAGGGCCTGTTTGGTTTGAGGGGAGGGAATGGGAGGGAGGGGAGGGAGAGGTAGGAGAGGGGAGGGGAGATTTCATCCTCACCTTGTTTGGTTTGATTAAAAAGGAGGGGAGGGGAGGGTATTTAATGATCCCTTGTTTGGTTCAAGGAGAGGAGGGGAGGGATAGTAATAATCAATTTACCATTTTACCCTTATATATTAGTTTATGTTTTTTATTGATATATTATATAAATTAATTTACATCTTAATTTAAATTATATAATTTAATCAAAATTCAGTCTTATCATGTTAATATGTGTATTAAAAAATTGGTATAGTAATTTTTCATTCTAATTAATCTAATAATATATTTAAAATAATCAAATTAACAAATTTTATATGCTCTAAGAAAAATGAAATTTTATTTTCTTTAGGCTATCTTTCTTTTCAGCTTTAAAATATATTTAATAAATAATATATTTATAAAAAACAATTAATTTTATAATATTATAATTTTTTATTTAAATAATTTTTATTTTTAAATAATTTTTATAATATATTTTTAATTATAATAATGTATAAATTTTTATTTTTTTTACTTAGGATAATATATTTTTTATTTGAAATAAATATTATAATAATATATTTATGGGTAGAAGTAGAATATTAAAAAAAATCATAAAGGCATAATGGTTCAAAATTTTAGCTCCCCTCCAAAAACCCCAAATTTGGAGGGGAGCCAAAATGGGGGGGAGGGAGGGGAGGGGAGGGGACATTTTAGCTCCCCTCCCCTCCAAAATTTTTAACCAAATGAGGGGAGGGGCTCCCCTCCCCTCCCCTCCCCTCCAACCAAACACACCCTTAAGGCGGTCCGGATATGGGACCCATAATCACATAATATAACTTTTTTTTAAAAAAAATGAATCATGGCTTTTTTTTAACCAAAAAAAATGAAAGAACCACGGCAATGGTTGCCCGACTATAAGGGGGTGTTTAGATACCCTAAAAAGTACTTCTCATAAATACTTTTTCGTAAATTGAGATAAACTCCTCCACATATTTACTACATAGACGGTAAAATCACTTCTAAAATCATTGTTTGGTTTCCATCCAAACACCCCCTAAGTATCATTTCTCCCTCCCTTCCTACTCGCATTGTCCCTTTTAATTCCATCATGTAAATCCTTAATTTAAATTATATCTTGTAGTACTGTTCCTATTATTGCTTTCATATTGTGGGATACTAATTCAACAAAAAGAGAAAAAGAGAAGAGAAAAATGAGCAACAAAATAATATATGAAAAAAAAGAAAATAGAAGGAAAATTGAAAAAAAAACAGAAAGAGAGGAAAAAAAAAGTATCACACCAATTTCTCATGCTTAGCAACACGATTGCTTGTATATATATGTTTTATGACAAATTTAAGATGCTACTCATTCTTTTTACATAAATAATAGTTGCCACCCCTCAGCATCCATGCGGCCCTGTTTTCAACATGACCAGTCGAACAGACATCTTGATTATTGAATGCACATGTATGTGGCTATAATTGGAATTATCTACAAGCCTATGATAAGCGTCCGTCTAGGATGGTTCAAGAGAAAGAACCCCATAAAGGTGAGATAAGCAAAACAAATATATTTATGAGAGATTCCCTTATGTTATATTCTTTTATCCTCACTGTTTTCATATTGTGATCTCTTGGCGCTATTACTCTATAGCTTTTGCTTATTTGAAGGGTGTGATTAGTTCGCTCATCACTTTCATGCTCGAATATAATTGATTCTCTTAATTGTAGATATTTATGATTTGAGATGATTTTATGATCTACCACTTTGCCTAGGAGCGCATTATTTGAGGAAATAAAGAGATTATATCAATCTTGAGTTATTCAATTCAAATGATAATAGAGATATGTGTTATCACTGTCACGTTCTTAGAATGCTTCACTTTATAAGCAGCTAATAAGATTCTCAAGCACCAATAAAACTTAAGGAGCTGAGGTACGAAGAACTCAAGCTAGCAAATGTTGAAAGTTTTATTGAAAATGTCATGTAGGGCATCGTGGATTGAGTTGAACTAGTATAAAATTTGTTGTGTTGTTTTTTTTTGTCTTCACCTATTACTCCTATCAAAGGAATGAGACATGGGAATCCTTTTTATCCTCATGCTTCTACTACCTCTGGCCTTTTTAATATAAGAGACAATTGACTAATCTAAATAGATTAAAGAAATATGTTAAATTATTTATTTGTAAAAAAATATATGTTATCTTTCCTAAAATTCTCTTGCTAATCATGTGTGTTGGTTAGAACTATCATTTGATAGAATCTTTAACATGTGCAACTACTACAAGGACTACTTTAAAAGAAATAGATAAATATGAGAAACTAAATGGATTGGGATCTTATATTTAGGACCAAATTAAAAGTTAAACTAGCTCATATATTAAAAACCGAAGGTAGTATATCTTAGCTGCTAACATGTTCTCAAACTTACTCAAACACTACAAGGATGGTGGAAAATGTAGGGGTATCAAGAGGTGTTAGATATTTAGTGCTCACTTAAAATAACTTATAAGTAACTTTTCAATATTAATTTACAAAATATGAAGTAAGTATGTAAAAAGAATTTTGTCTCAACCTACGTGGAATATATTTATACGTGATTTCTAACTCCATGCCAAACATGACTTTTTTCATTACAAAAAAACATGTGATTAGCGACGAAATTTAGCGATGGAATCAAATTAGTGACGGAATTTGTTCCGTTGCTAATTCCTCTATCACTAATTAGCCACAGATTAGTGACATAAAATTCCGTCACTAATTACATATGAAAATTTTTCGTCATTAGTTACTAACAGAAATTTCTGTCACAAATCCACCACGTAATTCCTCCTCAAAGGGACTTCTCCATGGCTCGAACCAGGGGCCTCGTCTGTGTGTGCGTGCTACTTTACTAGTTGAGTTGCAATAGACCTGTTAACTTATTATACAGAATTGTATATACAATATTCTTTTACACAAACAATTACATATATTATTAAAAACTAAAAATAAACTATATGATAATTTTAATCATAACAATTTTAATGACAACATAATTTTTACATATTTGTTTTACTATTTATTTTATAATGTTTTATTTTTAAAAAAAATATTTTGAACATAATTTTAATTTCCGATGACACTAATTTTGAATTTTAAATCATAAATAATTTTTTCATAAATATGTTTTTTAAATTTATTTTTTAATTAACATGGATAAGATATATAATTTAATTATATATGTATTATATTACGTTATATTATATTATCTATATGTATTTTATATATTTGATAAAAACCATTTACAATTAGTATAAAAAAAATCTTGTTATTCAAAAAATAGCTACTATAATAAAATCTAATAAATTATTCTGTATAAAAAATTAAATGATTTCAATATATTATGATAAATAATATTCTCCTACTTGTATATGTATCCTATATAATTTATTTTCTTAAAATTATTTGTATATACCATTTGTTTTTGCATTGAAAACCAAAATCAATCTATATCATTGATATTAATTATATCATGATTAAATTTTATTATTTAATGATTGATATTCAAAATTCACTTCAATATTAGTTTGATTTATAATCATAAATTGAATTGTTCATATAAATTTATTTTTCGGTTTTGAATTTCTATCATATATTATATCTTTTAATATGTTATACATATGATAAAATTATTTCATTCTTATATTAGTTTGTATAAGAAAGTTGTTAATATTCTTATTATATTTTTTAATTACTATTAATAATTAAGAGGAATTAATTTTAATAAAATATAAATAAGTTTTCTTAAAAATTGTCTTCCTGTTTTCAGTATATACCTAATGATGACATGAATGATGACGATACCTTCATTAACACCAACTCCACAAATATATCAATTTATTTTACAATTAAACAAATATTTAAATCATTATATTCTTAATTATGTTAGTATAAAAATTGTTGTAAGATTATAATCTAAAATAATACAATTTAAAATAAGTGACGAATTAGCAATGGAATTGTGACAAAATAGTATTAGTGACAGAAACTTCTGTGACAAATAATTTAGTGACGGAATTAGTGACAGAAACTAGTGACGGAAATTTTTCATCGGTAAAAATCTTATAACTAAAATTAGAGACAGAAATTTCAACAAAAAAATTCCGTCACTAATTCATTGCTAAATATTTACTTACAGATTTTTTTGATTGATTAGTGACTGAATTTAGCAACAGACAGAAATTTCATTGCTAATTTGTCGGTAAATTTAGTGACAAAATTTCTATCAAAAATTAGCAACAGAATAATTTTCTGTCACTAATTCTGTCGGTAACAAGTTGTTTTTTTTTGTAGTGTCTATATGTGAATATGCTCCGGATAAGAAAACAACAAAGGTAAGTGTGGTCTTTACTCACTTGTCCTAATTTTCTTCATGATGATAAACTTGTTCTAGCATATTGCTCCCAATGACCAAGAAGGTTTAGATATCATACTATCTTTGGCCTTTAATATTAGAATTAGCTAGTTAACTAATTTGAGTAAATTAAAAAATTAGTTAAGTTAGTTATTTATAATAAATAGGTATCGTTTTTCTAAAAATACTCTTGTTAATCATGTATAATAGCTAGAATTAATTATCATTTGATAAAATATTTAATATGTGCAACTATTATAAAAACTACCTTAGAAAAAATAGGTAAATATGAAAAACAAAGTGGATTGAAATCTTATATTTAGAACCAAATTGAATGTCAAGCTAACTTTTATATTAAGAACATAAGATAATATTTAATAGCAATTCACCAAAAAAATATATTTAAATATTTAATAGCAAAACAATTGTGTAGGATATTGAATTCGAGTTCTCTTCTGACTATGTCAGACCTTGAAGACAAAGTACATTAATCTAAACTCATTTCTATTATCTAAAAGCCTTACAATACATAATGATTTTTGTGACTTGAAG